AAAAAAAAAAAAAAAAAAAGCATATCAAAACCATTGATCTACGCAAAGAGAGAATAATCCACACACACACACAAACACACACAAACCTTCGACTGTATCGGTCGGCGAACAATTCGTACGCAGTTTCTGATTCCCTGGCATTTGATTTTTCCACAAAAAAATCACACGCACACTGTGCCTCGAACACGATAATCACACCCTCAACGCTTCGATTTCAAACACCACGCCACTGATTACAACACATGCGTATGATTATGATCGATGACTCGAAAAATTTTCAGAAATCACGCCAACTTCAATGCGAAAAAAAAAAAAAAAAAAAAAACTCAAAAGGCAACAAAATCTATCACAAGGATTCTGTCATCATAATGCGTATCGAAATTATTTTAAGCTTTCTCTCTCTAGATTTCAGGCTATCAGATCTTCCCACCTCTCACAACTCTTCTCCCCAATTTTTAAATGCGTATTTTTCACGAAAGATTTTCTTTTTTCTTTTGTTTTTTCTCTCTACAATCGTGTACGCTTATAGAAAGTTATATTATAATGCTACGATCCCGTTACGGAACTATTCCGTCGAGACTTGGGATACTTGAGATTTATAACTGTTAGATCAATTATCTCTGATGATTACATAATGATCTAACGGTTACAAACCCCTACGAAATGGTTCTGTAACAAGACCTTAGTATTTTCCTATATTATATATATTATATATATATAATATTTGAGCATTAAATTTTATTTTATATATAAGAAACTATTTGATATATTATTATATATATAATATTTTAGCATTAAATATTATTTTATATATAAGAAACTATTTTAGTGTGTACAATGTTTCAGAAAATTAATGTTGACGTCTTGACCAAATTAGCCCCCAACAAGTAGATGTTGTGGATTGATTTTAGCATCCATTATTATATGATGTTATGCGAGTCGAATAAAATGAGAAGAGTAGTTAACGAGCCGTTGCCGTTCCCATATTGGGAGCGATTAAAGAAATTACGAATTCGTTTAGGCTCGCCTAAATTGTTTAATTGATTTTAAATTTTAATTAGTTTTTGCGAACGATACTGACTCGTCTGGCAGCTCGTTTGTTTACGTTCAAAATAAAAAAAAAATAATTACAAATGAGATATTCTGTAATTTTCGAAACAATGTGGACTAAATTTAAAATTAAAAAAAAAAAGTAATACATATGCACATAATTATGAGAAACAAAACTTTGGTCTAACTTAGACTTTTCATGAAAGCATGAAATCAATTTGGTCTATTGTAAAAGTCTTGTATCTGCATATATGTTTGATTTTTGGGAGAATGAGTTCTGATAAAAATAAAATAAAATAAAATAAAATAAACTATAATATTTGATTTGTGGGTTTTTTAGGGAACATGTTGTGTGTTTTATGGACATAATCCTATTCTATTTGGGAAGTATTATCACATGAAAGTATATTATTTCCTAATATAATATATTGATTTACAAATTCTTAAATGTGGGCACAATTATATTTTGGAAATTAATTAATATTTAGAAAATAATTTGACTTTCAAAGGAGAAACACTCAATCCCATTAAATATTATTAATGGAACATACCTAACAAATAACAATCTCTTATGAAAGTAATTTTTAATTAAAATATATTGACTGATGGAGACTTTGTTATTTAATTAAAAAATCAATTAATCAAAAAGGAATTTTTTTATTTTATTTTTATGGCTAGAATGGTGGCTCACGACTCCGAGGGCCTTCTTGTCTTTTCACGGCAGTCATACATATGATATAGTATTATATTTTTTGTTCCCAACAACAAAATCAAATAACATTTTAATTTATTTTGAATTATAATAAATAAATATATAAATTTGATTTAAAAAAATTTTGCTGTATATTCGGAGAGAGGAAATGCGAGAAATCGTCGCCGTTGAAGGGCGTAAAGGTATAGCGTGGGCTGCAAGCAGACAGATATGGGCCGTGGATGGTGTTCAGATCAGTAATTGGGCTGGGGCCCATAAATGGGAATTTGTACTGCTTTGGTAAAAGGTTACGTGGGCCCACCGGGAGCCGACCCATTGCACGTAGGACAACGAGTGCAGAGGAAAGAAAGCAAAAGTCGTTGCATTATTATTCTAACAATAAATAAATAAATAATCATTATAAAAATTAGGTAAATTTTTTGGTGAGACAATCTTGTTAGATGATTTGGTTCCTTATATTATTTGAATACCAATATATATATATATTTTTATCTTATTGAATGTTATATTTGGTTTTTATTTTTTGAAAATATTTAGATCTATAAAATTTATAAATCGATCTAATGGTTAGTCAGGACTAACACAATGGTAACCATATAAGCTAGCTTATAGCTTATTTGATCAGTTTATAAGTTTTTTTTTTATTTAAATAAGATTCGTTTGGAATGAAAAAAAAAA